GTGCTATCATTAATACATTACGATATTAGAATTACAAATTAAAGTTATTGGGTCAGGTCTACTGTTTGCTGTGCATTTGGGATGCCCTGGGCTCACTGCTCCTGAATAAGCTTACTTTTCCCATACCCAACTCAATTTTCTACTCTGGAGTCATCTTTGGCTGTTTCTTGCCATTTGAGATAGTCCAGTGGCATTTGTGATCATTTAAAAAATCAGTTTAGAGGGAGATATTTGTGTTTCATAAATTAAGGCTCTAACCAGTTGTCTGCTGGCTTAATGAAGTCTAGCAGTTTCTTGCTTTACCCCAGCACCTCCAAGGAGCCTTGCACTGAGTTTCTTGCTGGTGGATGTTGATTTTAACTAAACTTGGAATTGGTGAATGAATGGTCTTCCATTTGTAGTGGGTTTTGAGTGGGAAGGCCCATGGGCATACATTGAAAGGCTCTAGAGGAACTAGCTTTATTTGAACCCAAGGAAGGGGTTTAATAGCAGAGAAGAGAGAAGGGAGCCTATCAGATCTGGCAGAGCTGACCCAGGAGGAGATACAGCTCTGAGGACGGAGGGGTCACAGGGCAGGCAGATTGCATGGCTCTGGGCGATGGCAGCCAAGCCTACTGGCCATTGGAGCTTTTGAGCAATGCAGATACTTGGCTCTGCATTTTTTCTGAGCTACTCCTCCCCTTAACACGCCTGGGTCAGATGATGGTTGAGCAAGGAAGGTATACTGTCTGAGTACACTTCCCAAAGCTACCTGTCCCTCACCATCAAAATCGGGATACTCAGCCACCCGCCTTACCCACCTGATCCTTCATGGGAGGTGGGAGGTGGGGTCTTTTTATCCAGGCTGGTCAAGTCCTTGCTGAGCAGCTGGGAAAACAAGAACACCTCTGAATTTTTTTATTCGTGGAAATTATCACCTACCTCTTGCTTCTTGGGCTTTTTAACTGGTTACAGTGTTTGCTGCTGTGGTCAGCCCAAGGGTTAAGCCTTTCTCTTGGGTGTGTTTCATTTTACAGCATAACTCATTTCCTCCTTGCATCAATTTCCACTTCTATCCTTGGACTGGGGATTTGTTACCAACTTGGCCTGCAACCATCTCTTGTGTTTTATTTTTAGAACTTAGAGTAAGGATTAGCTATGTAATATTTTGAATCCTTCATACTGACTTCTGTAAAATATACAATAGAGAAAGCTCTAAAAGCTTAGCTTTTTTTTTTTTTTTTTTGGCACATAAGCCTTAAAAATGGCCTTTTAGAATTCTAACCTGGAGTATATTTTCTTCCCTCAATTTCCTTGGCTGGTTATTTTTAGGATTTAGGGATGGCTTTGGAGAAGAGGTGTGATTCTAGGATTTGTCTTAGTGGTTTAAAAAAAAATTTTTTTTCGAGACAGGGTCTCACTCTATTGCCCAGGCTGGAGTTCAGTTCACTGCAACTTCCACCTCTTGGGTTCAAGCAATTCTCCTGCCTCAGCCTCTGGAGTAGCTTGGAATACAGGCACACACCACCACAGCTGGCTAATTTTTGTATTTGTTAGTAGAGAAGGGGTTTCACTATGTTGGCCAGGTTGGTCTAGAACTCCTGACTTCAGATGGTCCACCCCCTGTGGCCTTCCAAAGTGCTGGGATTACAGGCATGAGCCACTGCTCTCAGCCAAAATTCCTTATATCTCATTATAAAAGTGATATCTAGGATATTTATAGACTGTATATAATGTATAAATTGTTAATTGTCTACGTTTATACTTTATAGATTTTTTAAAAATCAACTTAGAGCTCTGTGTGTATATATTCGTATGTGTGTATGTTTTCATGAATGAAGACCCAACAAGTTGCTTGCTGGCTTCATCATGCAGTAGAACCAAAATACCTGGCAAGTCTTAGATCTAATCCTAATTATACTTCATTTCCTGGACCAGTGCTGGCTGGCTAAGGGAACTTTCTGGAATAATGCAAGTGTTTTTTTGTTTGTTTGTTTATTTTTTTGAGACGGAGTTTTGCTCTTGTTGCCCAGGCTGGAGTGCAATGGCACCATCTCGGCTCACTACAACCTCTATCCGCCACCCACCCCCGCCCCTGCCCCCCGCCCCAACCCCAGTTCAAGCAACTCTCCTGCTTCAGCCTCCCAAGTAGCTGGGATTACAGGTGCACACCACCACGTCTGGCTAATTTTTTTATTTTTAGTAGAAATGGGTTTTCACCATGTTAGCAAGGCTGGTCTCAAACTCCTGACCTCAGGTGATCCGCCTGCTTTGACCTTCCAAAGTGCTGGGATTACTGGATGGCACAATGGCCTTGGATTATTCTTACCTGAGCAGTAGAAGTCTTTCTGAGGAACTGGAGCTTGGGTTGTGTGAGATGGTTCTAGAATTAGAGGGACATGTACCACTGCCCTGTTTCCCACCAGCTCAGGCTGCGACTCTGCTGGACCCACACCTTCTCTCTCGGCAGCTCATCTTAGTCCTTCGCGCTTCAATTCTTGAATGCTGCAAGCCTGCCTGAGGTTGGCTCCTTGTTACCCTGTGGATAAACTCTAGGCTCCTGATGCCCTTTTTGATAGACCTCACCTCTCTCTTCCTTACTTATTACTTTCCCCATCACTCTCCAACTGCCCATGACATGGAAGGATTTGCAATTTCAAGAACAGGCTGTTCTTACCTCTAGACCTATGCAAATCAAACACTCTCCACCGGAAATACTCTGTCCCTTCCATGCACCTGTCTGAGTCCTACATATACTCTAGGTCTCAGGCTAGATCTCAATTTCTGCAGTGCCTCCTCTGGGAAAGGCTTTCTTGACCTCTCCTAGGACAAATGGGTGCCTTTTCCTACTATGTGTCCTGGGTGGATTCCCATCACAGCACACTTAATTGAAATGACTTATTTACCTACAAGTTCTTCCTCCTGCCCTAGAGCTTCTTAAAGTGCAGCCCCTGTGCCAGCTGCATTGGTGTCACCTGGGAACTTGATGGAAACGCAGAGTCTCGGACCCCAGACCAGACCTCCTGAATCAGAAATCCTGAGGGTAGAGGCCAGCAATTTGTGCTCAACAAGCCCACCAGAGGATTTTCATTTATGTGCTAAAATTTGAGAACCATTGGGCTCAACCCTTAGCCCGATGAAGGTAGGATCTGTGATTTTTGATTTTTGATTTGCCTAGCTTTTAGCACACTGCCTGCCTAGATACTCGAGAAACAGCCAGAAAGGAAATTCCAGTCATTCTTTCGGCAACTTCTCTGGTCAGGAGTTTTTTTTTAGCTGAAATCAGTTTAAATCTCTTCTCCTTTTTCCAAAGGAGATAAAGAACAACTGAGTACTTTAAAAAAATTATTGTCATCTGGGCATGATGGCTCAGAACCTGTAATCCCTGCACTTTGGGAGGCCTACGGAGGTGGATCACCTGAGGAGTTTGAGACCAGCCCGGGCAACAAGGTGAAACCTCGTCTCTACTAAAATACAAAAAAATTAGTCAAGCGTGGCGCAGACACCTGTAATCCCAGCTACTGGGGAGGCTGAGGCAGGAGAATCACTTGAACCTGGGAGGTGGAGGTTGCAGTGAGCTGAGATGGCGCCATTGCACTTCAGCCTGGGCAACAAGAGCAAAACTCCATCTCAAAAAGACAAAAATTATTGTGGTAAAATTTACACAACATACAACCTACCATCTTAACCATTTTTAATTTATTTTATTGAGACAGAGTCTCACTTTGTCGCTCAGGCTGGAGTGCAATGCATGATCTCACTGCAACCTCTGCCTCCCGGGTTCAAGCAATTCTCCTGCCTCAGCCTCCTGAGTAGCTGGGATTGCAGGTGCCTACCACCACATGTAGCTAATTTTTGTATTTTTTAGTAGAGGTAGTGTTTCACCATATTGGCCAGGCTGATCTCGAACTCCTGCCCTCAACTGATACACCCACCTCGGCCTCCCAAAGTGCTAGGATTACAGGTGTGAGCCACCACACTCTGCGTTAACCATTTTTAATTGTATGCATCAGCGGCTTTAAGTGCATTCACATGGCTGTGTAGCCATCACTGCCATCCACCTGCAGGGCTTCTTCATCTTCTCCAACTGAAGCTCTGCACTCATTAAACAACTCTCCTTCCTTCCAACCCTTGGTAACCATCATCCTACTTTCTGTCTCTGAATTTGCCTACTCTGCGTTCCTCACGTAAGTGGAGTCATACAGCATGTGTCCTTCTGTGACTGGTTTATTTTACTTAGCTTAATGTCTTCAAAGTTTATCCATGTTGTAAGATGCATGTGCCAGGATTTCCTTTTTAAGGCCAAATGATAGTTCCTTGTCTGTATACCACATTTTGCATATCCAGTTATCAGACAGCATTTGGATTGTTTCCACCTCTTTGCTTTTGTGAATATCACTGTTGTGAACATGGATCTACTGTATAAATATCTGCTTGAATTCCTGCTGTCAATTCTTTTGGGAATATACCCAGAAATAGGATTGCTAGATCCTATGGTAATTCTATGTTTAATTTCTTGAGGAACCACTGTGCTATTTGCCACAGTGGCAGTATCTGCACTCACTGCAGCCTCTGCGTCCCGCCCACTCCCCCACCCCCGGTTCAAGCAACTCTCCTGCCTCAGCCTCCCAAGTAGCTGGGATTACAAGTGCACACCACCACACCCAGCTAATTTTTTTGTATTTTTAGTAGAAATGGGTTTCATCATGTTAGCAAGGCTGGTCTTGAACTCCTGACCTCAGATGATCCACCCTCTTTGGTCGGATCTGGGGAGGCTGAGGCAGGAGACTCACTTGAACCCAAGAGACAGAGGTTGCAGTGAGCTGAGATCACACCACCACATTCCAGCCTGAGCTGCAGAGCAAGTCTCTGTAACAAAAAAA